TGGCTGGGCCGCGTCATGTCTGCTCTTCCTGGCAGTCTCTCACCGAGGCAGCATAAATGTTGTCAACGTGGCGTCCATGTCAGAACACGTCACCCGTTCACTGCCCCCTCTTCTGGACTGCATGGCTTGGTTTTCTGGTGGCAGAACATGCCACCCTCCGACTGCACAATCTCCACCTAGAGAGCATGGCGTTGCTTTGTCGTATCATAAGATGAAGTGTAGATGTTCTGCTGGAGAGTGGACCCTCCTAGTGACGTTGCGCTGACAGTTCTATTAGGACGAAGCTCAGATTCATAATGTCTAAGAATTTTCAAAGAAACATGTTCTTCACATATATTTATCTGAAGGCACGTGCTGGAAAGGAGTTCGGCTCGCTTCGTCCGTCTCAGCCAACCCAAGGGCCGCTGAGGAACGCAGTTGTTCGCCTGTCAGAGCGATGTGATGCTGACTCCGATGCTGTTGTGCGCGAACTTGCCTCTTTACCCCATTTCAGGTGAGGTTATGTTGTTTTTTTTGTTCCATGCTCTTTGCAGCTCTGAAGGATTTTGTGTATTTTGGATCCTTTCCAGTCTGGACGAGCCGCTTTCTCTTCCTTTACCGTACGAATTGACCGAAGTGTCTCTCACATCAGTATGTCCACTTGCTTGGTGCTGTGCTTTGGGAAAGGCACAACTGGTCCTCATATTGAGAGCTGCTGGAGCTGATGTGAATGCTACAGATCTAGAAGGGCGAACACCACTGATGGTAGCAGTTCTGGCTAATAAGGAGGCTGCAGTGGAGGTAGGGTAAATTGATAAGGGTGAGGGCACCTCTTTCCTATTCTTTCATTTTCAGGCACTTTGCGGCGATGGATCAGTAGTTGTCAAGAAACCTGCAGCACTAAAGAAAACAAAGGGACATACAGCCACGAGGCTTTTCCTGGGCGCCATGCAAGGTCGAAAGCGAAAAGCGCCAGAAATCGACGATGATGAGGACGAGGAGGATGAGCGCGCTGAAACTGAAGAAGAATCAGACGCTGACAGCGAAGGGTCAGAATCCGAGGCAGAAGTTGAAGACGAGGCCGAAACCGAACAGGACGACACTGAAACAACTCCGCCAAAGAAGATTAACATTTCTAATAAAAATGTAAGTTTCCTGACAAGCTGTGGTCCTCCAGTCCAGGCTGGTCGTTTTGGCGGTGTTCCGCCTGCTATTGTGTCCTCTGTACTACAGAGGAAAGAGCTCTGGATAGCTCCGCCCTCACGAATATCGTGGACTAAGCCTTTGAATGCTGGTAGACCTTTGGGGACAAATCGATCTTTTTATACTTCTTCTTGGACTTCTTGGAATAATTCCAACATGAAAATCACCGCAGATGTCAAAAGCCAATCATTCTTATTTTCCAACCGCCTATTACTCCACCCGCTCCTCCCATTTCATTTGCTCATAGCATTATTTTCAGCTGGACCTAATGATCTGCGACAGAAAAGGAAGGAACATTGTTCACTACATGGTCGAGCCCATTCCATGGGAGAATGTCGAACTTCTAAAGAAACTCTACAAAGAAGCTCCAGCAAAGATCAAGCAACTCCTTCAACAAAAGAACAAGGTTCTTAGGACTTTCTCGCCATTCGCATCCTGGTTCTGACCGTTCCCTTTTGCTTAGGATGGGAACACACCGTTAGACATCGCCATGAAAACGAAACAGAGGAGGATGGCTTCGGCGATCAAGGACATCCTGGGCGGTACTGCAAAGAAGGCAAAAATTAGCAATGGGTATGTCTTCCGCCTTATGAGAACGTGGAACTTAAAGTCTTGTTCGCTGCGGATGATCAGGCGTGTCAGGAGGGATGAGTTTGGCGCGGTGCCAAACCCGTTCTCCACCAGTTGTTGAAGCGAGCAAGTGACAAGACTGTATCATATTGTTCGCATCACTCGTTTCCCACCGCTTGTTGTCGCTCGCCCGCTTTAACAAACGGTGGAGAACGAACTGGCAACGCGCCAAGCCCAGTGCCGACACGCCCCTTCCTACGAAGCTTACAGGACAAGATTGAAAAATTTTAAAAATTGATTATTTCCCTTTATAGTAAGGATGTGCGAGGAATCAAATGTTCTGAGACTTCGTTCTACTAAAAGCGCTGTGCGGATGTTCGGGGGAGACCTAATAGTACTCAGGGAAGCTTGAACGAGTCACCTTGTGAAGACCTGTGAATTCTTGTGACCAGAGGCACTATTTGGCAGCTTCACAGGCATTTACAGGTCCGACCAAAGAGAGACGTGCTATTGAATGTACTAAAAACGAACTAGCGAAAGTGCGAAATGTCCCCTCCAAGCCGAACAGCGCTTTAACTAATTGATGTTGCTAACAATGAACATTTGTACTCATTCCAGGGTACACATATCGGATCTCCCTGATGTATCTGATCTCGTTTGTAAGTACAACGTCAATGAGGAGTCCAAACTGTTCCTTGCCCGTTGGAATGCTGAACACAATGTGGCCTACATCTCCGTCATCCCGAAACCGTCAGCTTTGAGTGGATATCGCGATACAGCCGAGCTTGTAATGTGCCCTGTCACTCAGCAGTACATTACTGTACGTGCGACATATTCTTCGCAGTGCTTTCAGACCCCTCCTTTGATGCACGAGGCCTTCATAAACCCTATTTTCAGGCAGTTCTCAACAAGACTGATCTAAATTATGGACGATACGGATTCCATAATTTCTATCGGAATCGAGCTGATGAAACGACGTGACACGGATCTCTGGATTCTCTTCACGAACTGGGGACGAATAGGAATGGGACGAGGAGAATACCAAACGACTCCATTCAGCACTCTCGATGCAGGTATGGTCAATTATTGCCCTTAGAGAGTGTTTCTAACGTTCTACCTATCATTGGGGGCTTTCCTTACAACTTGATTCCTATTATAAACCTTGCTGCGCCGCTCCAGTTAAGTAGGCCCAGCCCCGCCCATAGTTAGAGCATGGTATGACCTTGTAAAAAGAAAAGGCGCAATAGTTTGAAACGCTTTTTGTCTCGCTTGGGGATGCCTTCCATCTTTCTGGGCTGGCTTTATCGGTACCAGTCTCATTTGTTTGGGTAGAGTATTACTTTCGAGCTTTGATCACTTCGAGCTGGTTATTCTGTGAATAGGACCCCGAAAGGCCTCATTCTGAAGTGATTCCTAATGCATGGCGCGTTCTAGAAGTGCAATCAAGCTAACTATCCTGATTAGTTCAAAGTAACTACTATTCATATTCCACGCATGAAAGCTAATTAAATTTTATGCCCCTTCAGCCATGAAGGAGTTCAAATCTGTATGGCGATCGAAGACAGGACAAGACTGGGGACCATTCTCTCAATTCCAGGTCCTTCCCAAGAAATATCGATTGGTTCAGGTAAATATTTCAGCTACTACTACGAGTCCTCGTACACGATCAGGCTTCATTATTCCCTCAGTCTTGTTCGCTGCAGACGCGGGGCGTACCAGGGGCCAGGGCATGCGCTCTGCCAGCCGATTTTCCATCAATTGTGATCGGCCTGCACTGAACAATATTACATGGCTCAATGGATTGGCGTCAGTGCCCAAATCCCAGCTTCCCTGCCACGCTAGCGTCGCAGCCAACGAGACTCGTTTATTTCAATATTTTGTTTGTTTATTGCCATTCTGTCGGAGTGGTCATTACCCGTTTTTTTTTTTTATTTGTACCCATTACTACCATGAGATTAGTGAAAGATGAAGTTTTTTAGACAGGTAAAAGATCAACAACGCCCTCTGAATTTCTTTTCATTCTGTCGACACAAAGAAGAATCTCTCGCGAGAAGATTGATACAAGATATCAGTAACTTTCAAAAACTGAAAAGTTACGCAAAACAGGTGACATCTTGGGTTTTTCAAGAATTATGCGCTTTTTACCACTTGGGGGGGGCGGTATGTAAAAGGGTCTTCGCTAAACACAACTAGAATTACCATGGCTGGGGCAGGTGAGGACATTCAGCCAATAAGGCGTAAATTAGTGGAGGAGTTTCCGAGTTGCGTGTAACGCAATGTGAAAGCATCCATGATCTGTCAGAAACCAGTTAATCCCTGTATTCAATTAACAGCCTTTAACACGTTCCGGACCGCGTGACACACATGGTGTGTCATGAATTTGCCTTCTATGCTGTCTTTTATTTGATTATTTTGAATATTCTTTCATGTTCTGTTCTTGTGAAAACACGTGATCAACATATCCTCCCTCATGAGCGTTTGAAAATAGGGAGGAAATTACTGATCAATTTTTTATGAAAAATGATGAAATGATTAGGACGTGCGCGCAGTACGGCGGTCCGCAATGTGTTAAAGCCTTCTTACAAGGTTATAAGAGCCTGACTGCTCAAACTCGACCACTTTTGTGGTAGTTCTTACCCACCAACTTGCATCTATCAAAGATTGTGCGCGCGTAAAATCAGTATTCGTTTCAGCAAAGCGTTACCCGATTGAAGATAGATAGACTCTTCCTGAGAACAAAGGTCCGGTCTGCTCCTTTTAAAAAATTGACAGTAAATGATGAGGGCGTACGGTTTGTCGTTAACCCAAAACAGCATGCAACCACCTCGTAAGAAGCTGCTTTAGCCCTGGGGGAACGTGTAAAGGTCGGCGAGCCGCTTTATCCCAAAGTCTGAGCGTCCGACCGTGATCGTTTCTTCCATCTTCCACAAGCTTGTTTGTTGTTTTCCTTACTCTTGTATCTTATCTCTCAGCATGCCGCGCAGCAGTGTCTCACTTCTCCAAGATACCCGTCCAATCCAACGGGCTAATTTAGGGAATCCTCCAGAGCCAGCTGTGCCTTTCCATTTCCACTAATAGAGACAGGGTTGCGCAAGGGTTACCGGTTCATAGTTGAACTTTAACACACATGAATTTTAATCGATAAATATGTATTTAAATAAGTAAATAATGTCAATGTAATGAGCAGCCTAGGTCTCTTTTACAACTTTATATCAACGAATTTTTCAACAAGTGTACAACCTGGGATAGTCCCAGGTGTGATTGACTCCTTCGAATGGACGCCACACGACGGAAAAAAAATAAATTTATTAGGAACAAAAAAAACGACAACAACGGATGAGAACAATAGTTAGTACAATCTAGCCTATATACAAAGAAGATCAATCCAGCTTCTGGAGCTGGAGCGGAGCAGGAGCAGGAAAAACCCAGGCGAGACCCCTGGCAAAGAGAGAGGGGTTACCGCAAGAGAGAGAGAGGAGAGCGTAAACCAAGTTAAAAAAAACTTTCAAGAACTGCAGTACTACTCCTGGACCCTCAGTCTTTCTTTTATAGGTCTCTACTTAGCCTGAGGGAAAATTGGGCGGTGTTCTCCCTCGCCTGGGGGGAAATATCAGTACCTTTGATCTCTCTCACCACCCATCACCCGAGGGGGGTTACCGTAATCCTGACCGTATCGACACATCGCGCGCAGGAGGTCAACATGACCTTCTCTTCTTTGGGGTCTCGCCAGTAGGTCGCCCCCTGCTTCTCTCCCTCTTTGACACAAGAGTATTTTCAGATGGATCGATCCATGTCATGTCCATTTGGTCACATTAGCGAGGCAGCAATTGAAAGGGCACGCAGTATACTTGATGATTGCGAAAAGAACGTGGATGAGCTGGAAAAAGTCCTGGCCAAGGGAAAATCACACTGATACTGACGTGTTGAAAGTGTTCGAGACAAGTGTAAGTTGTTCGCCCATCTGGTTGTTGGTTAAACTCATTGGGAAGAATTTTCAGCGTTCACTTTCTGGTGAGTTCTACAACACATTCCCGATCGCCGATTTCGAGTACGGTGCGGTGAAGATCTTCGATAATGTGGGTGTTCGGTTATACTTTCTTTTTTTGTTAGCTTTCTGGGAACAATTATAGGAGGGGGCAAGCCGGCGCGGCCCAAACTTGTTCGTCTGCGTCCTCTAACGGAGATAGTGTCCGAGATATTTGCTCATAGCAAAACAGTCAGACACATTCGGCACCATCTCGCTTAGAGGGCGCATAAAAGCAGACATGACGTAGCGTGGTCTTGCTGCCACCACCCTTGCTCTATTGCCTCCTCATTTTTGAATTTTTTTTCATTATCTCCATCCATTCTCCTCCAGTAGATACCCTAATACCTCAGGTGCTTACAGAAGGACGATATAAATCGCGCTCGCGAGGACCTGAATCGTATGACAGAGGTAGAGGTAGCGACACGTCTTTTAACTGCGGCCGCCCATCGTAAAGATGTCGATAGAATCAGGTAAAAGTCCATTTTATCGTTGCAGGACCTTCAAATTCTCTCCTCGGGTCACTTTTTCAGCTACATAATGTCGGCGCTAGAATGTCGGTTCACAGAGATGAGCCCAGCGGCCGATATGAGCCAGAAAATCTTGCGGTATATCCACGTGACCGGCGGTGCATGTTGGAAAGTCAAGGTAACTAAATATATGCTAATGCTTTCTTCCTTTATTGGAGAGTCCCTCCCTACTGATGTTTCTTTCAGGGTATTCTGGAAATAACCCCGAGAGAAGCGGTTTTGAATTTCGGCGATTTCGCTGACGACGAAAATCAGATGTCAGTTGTAATTTTTGAGAAATTTTGAAGTTGCTAACTAGAGACACATTCCATGATGGAAGGATGGGCGGAGACTCAGGCCGTTATGCCTTCTTCTTTGCTCTTCCCTTTTTCTGAATCAGTGAAAAGGAGGAGGCGCTGATGAGAACTCGCCCATTTCTCCACTCATCCGATTATTGTTGATGTATCTTTAAATAATTCTGATTTCAGGTTCCTCTGGCATGGCACGAAGGCCGTGAATTTAATAAGTATTCTGAAGGATGGCTTCCTTGTGAATCCGCGCAACACTTCTATTACGGGTAGACTCTTTGGAGATGTGAGTTCTTACCAAACAAAACGATCACAATGTTTTTACCGTACGAAGAGCCTTCTTGGAACCTTTGAGGACTGTCTTTAGTACAGCAAAAGGGTCTGTTTCGCTTGAGGGAGGGAGCTCGTATTTGTTCTTATTCATCTGATGGGGTCGTTACTTGATCGAATTTACCCTTCCACTCCCTTCCCGCTCTGCCAGCTTTTCCTGGGAAAAACGGGAAGAGGAAGAACCTGAACCTGGTGAATCCCTGACGAAAACTCGGGAAAGGTGGGTGGTGGATGTGAAGGGAAGACGATGGTAAGTAGAATAAGGAATGAGAAGGGGAGGGGGTAGTGCTGAAGGGGAAATTCCTAGAGGGTCATATTTTGCAAAATATTTCGCCGATGGTAGGAAGTGCCCTGGTTAGCGCCCACAGTTACTCATGATTCAATATAAATTTCAGGGCATCTATTTGGCGGATTCTTTCGAGAAGAGCACACATTACTGTCAGTCATCCGCTAATGGTTACAACTACATGCTTTTGTGCCGAGTGAGTTTATTTTTTACATTTCCCCAAAAATACAAAAAGAATTCACAATTTTTCAGTGCTCTAAGGCTTTCTCGGGGTAAAGAGATTTATCGTTCAGGTAGCTCTGGGAAAATGTCACAAAATAAATTCGTGGAATTGCTCATGGGGTGAAGAGATGCCCAAAGGCTACGATTCCTTACATGTTGTTGGTCAAAAACATCCATTATCATCGATTACGGAAAATGGTGAGCCTATTTCATTTTCAAAGATATTAACAGACATACATCCATATCTGAGAGCAACAAGGGGCGTAGCTGCGAGTGACGACGAATGCGCAGACGCTGGGCCGTCCGATCTACGGACAGCTTGAAATAGACCATTTTAGTTCGCCAATTTTCTGTTTTTCACTGCAGTCTCTCGTCTGCATGGCGTTCTATAATCACTGTGATCTCACACATTCCAGCTTTTCACGCACCATAAGTGGCTCACCCCCCCCTAGCCCTTCCCTCTTAAAAACCCATCCCCTGGCTAATCTTCCTGCGCTAAAAAATTTCGCAGGACCACGCAGAAAAGTCCAAGTTGCGGTTCA